GTTCTCTATTTTTTTTTCCTGAATGTGTGTTTTTTTATTCATACAAAATGAAGCAATATGTTGATCTATTCTGAATTATGGGTAGATTTACATCTACACACTTGTATTCTTATTTCTGAAATTAAATCATTTTCAGAACCATGATTATTTCAAGGCCTCAAAAAGCACTAGGCTTTCTTTATACAGTGGTACGGCCTGGTTGGCACTACTGTTTATATTGTTCGGCTCCTACACCGGGTCACGCACCCTCTAAGTTGAATTAGCCCCGGGCTCACGAAACCTGGTTCCATTTACAAAACCTTTTCTCACAACCTTTTCCAAACACATTTATTTAAAAAGAATCATTTTAACCTCACTTTTCTCGAACCATGCCCATGCCATAAATGAAATCATGCATGAATGAAATTGACATACACATGCTTGCATTTTATCAATTTAGCCGTACAAACTCATCATCATCATCATCTATATACACATAACCTCAAAAAAACATTTCAACGTAAGGCATGCTCTATAAACACCTTTGCAATCAAGCAAATATATGTACACAATTAACATCATCTAGAACATATTTTACCACATAAACATGTAAACACATACTCAACATTCAAAATTTATCATTTTTAAGCACGCTTAGCAAGAATTCAAGTTAACAAAAACAACTAAAGTCAAAACGTAATGGTTTAGACATCCCTACCTCAAAAGTAGCCAAAATGCATCCCTGGCCGGAAATGTCAACGTTGGTCAACGCAGTTAATGTCGGTCAACGGCAGTCAACGGCGGCGGAACGGAAAACTATTCCGTGGAAACATAGCCAACGACGAGGAGAGCAAACTACTCTAAAGGCGCAGCTCCCGAATCCGAATCGAAGCGGCCCAAAATCCCCTCCGAAGTCTTAGATCTAAAATTTTCAAAAATTCGTAAAATAATCACCGCTACTCCGAAAATTAAATCCTTTAACTATGTGGTAGATGACGATGAGAGGAACATTTTTTGTTAGGAACTGAGCCCGGAAACCCTACCGATTGGCCAGAAAATGGAAGAGAAATTTGAGTCTTCAAAAAAAAAAAAAAGGAGAAGTTTATAAAGAGAGATGTTGCGTGAGTGGGAGAGATTCTTCCAAAGCTGATAGTGTGTGATGTATAAATGTTATGCTTAATCAAGTGGGGTCCACTCATAAAATAATATATGAAGAGTAATGGCTCCCCAAAGGATAATTCTCGTGCACAACAATACTGGTTGCGGGTTCCCTCGAACCTCCCAGTTCGAAAAATTGAAAAAATACAAAATTAGCAAATAATGCATTTGTAAGAGTTCTGAACTCGAAGATATGCCTAAACCAACTCTCGATACTCACCTGGCACACCCCACGGTGTTCGGCACGCAAAACAAGGTACGAAAAGAAAATTTTCAAAAAATCAAAAAATCTCCGAAAAGTAAAAATAGGAAAAATCAGAGACACTGCAGTTTTATAGTTTTAAATTTTTTCCTTGAATTGTGGGGTTTTTTTTTTTTTTTTTTTCATTCCATTTTATATTATATTTTTAAATTTTATTTTAATGTTTTAACTTCTAAAAAAGCACATGTTAAATATTTAATGATAAATGCAACACAACATTTCCCGGACCGTGAGGTACTCATTATACCATTTGAAAACCATGTTATTATTATTGGACGAGGAATATGTGCATTTTTTTTTATATAAAAATATTAAAATAGCATTTGGCTTAATTAGACAAATGTTAAAATCTGTAAATTGCCAAAATAAATTATTTGAAGGAAAATATTAAAATTCTCATTAGACTAACATGATCTGACCTCAAGCCTATACCATACTAGCTAGCCTAGGCCCAAGCCATATGATGTACAAACTGAAGCCAAGCCTGCCCATATGACCATAATTTATTCAAAATAATACTTGAATATACTAATAAAATAATCTATTTTACATTCAATTTTGTCCATCTTGAATGAAAAGACAAATAGCGAATTGAAAATTTGAAATTAATTGCCTCTTGGCAGCACATTAGAGATTTGAAATTAGTTGGATTCTAATTTGCATCAGGGGTGAGCAAATAATCCATAAATACGCGAATCTAATTCGATTCGATTCGATTCAATTCAATCAGCACATTATATTTATATGTTAGTGTGATATATTAAAAATAGTTACAAAATTAAATGGGTAAATCAACATTTCAATGTGTCAATTGATAAGTCATTCATAATAAGGTATTTTTATCTTATGTCAAAGGTAACTGGGATGATTGTTAAATTTTTCTTCGAGTTAGGCTCTAATTTATAATTTATAAGACTAATCAACAACGGTTGCAAAACTGATGGGCTAAGCGCACTCATGTTGGGCTGGTTAATTTTTATTTAGTATTTCTGTAAGTGCGTGAAACAAATTGGTGTATATTTACAATCATTCCATCGCCCAAATTCTATATATTCCTTCGTGCCCAAGGATTTGGAAATATTTCTTCAAGTCATGATCATAACAAATTTGTATCCGTTTCACTACTTTTTATCCTTTAAATAGATGTAAACAGAGCTGGTCCTAACCCAAGGCGACCGTGGTCCACAAAAATTTGAGGCCCATAGGGGATGGAAAAAAAAAAAAATTTAAGTTAGGACAAGTCTTGGTTGCCTTGGGCCTCAAATTTTAGAGGCCTCAATTTTGAACACATATACTGTCTGTCTCGTATATTCTTATTGTAGATTGATAGTAATTTTTGAACAATTCCTCAGTGGGTGTTCGAAGTTTTTACAAAGTTGAAGACTTGGCTAAAGGGTTTTTGCCTACACAATGAAACAAAGACAACTGAACTCCAAATTTGCACTTAGGAAGGTAAACATTTTTTTTACCCTTTAAGCAATTTGAAAAAAATTGAATCTTTTCCATATAATAATAATAATAATCATAAAGCTTCTTTTCTCTTAATCGTCATTTTCTCCGCTAAAGACGACTGAACTCCAAATTATTGTGTGTTTCCATATAATAATAATCATAAAGCTTCAAAATCTTGAGTTCAAGTTTGAATCTAGCTATTGGAAAAAAAGTAAGACTATTAAGTAACAAGAATGTACTCTAATAACTCAAAGTTTCATAAAAAGTCATATTTAAGTCTCCATAGAAACGTATATGTGCGTGCATTTTTGTTCAAGATAAAAATAAATAAATAAAAGAAGAAGAAGAACAAAAAATATATATTAAAAATGTTCTCAATGTGTGAAATTATCAAAATTCATTAATAAAATTTCGTATGATAAGTACATTGCTACCATGGAATAGGTACTTTGATATGCGCATAAAATTGAAAATTTCATTTTCCTAACAATTCACCCTAGATAATTACGTTAAAGGGTATCAACTCTACTCGAATTCTTATACACAGGTGGAAATCAGGAAAATGTGTTTTAAATTGGGTGTCAAAAAATAAAATTTTCAATGAATAATTTAACAAAATCAAATTATATAAATATAAAACTGTATAAACATAAATTTGTATGACTCAGAGTCTAACAATTGTAAGATTTCAATTCATTTTCTCAATGAACAGCAAATGAAATGATTCATTTCCAACCATTTGAATACACGGTGGGATGGCAACTTGACTCACCCCTGCGGTTACCTATTCCACCCCTGCCTCGTTTTTTGGCATTTTGGCCCACTGTTTAGCATATTTGGGAGGGGATAGTTTAATGTAATAAACACCTGCGTAGGTTTGGTGTGGGGGCAGGGGGAGGTCGCCCCGCCTCGTTTAGATAGACAAATTACTGAAGTGCCCTTATTTCTTTAGTATATATATTTCTTAGTATATATATTAAGTACCCTATATAACAATATTAAAATAACAAATGAATTTTATTAGAAGAAAAATTGCAATGGTAAAGAACTGAAGATGAGGGGGAAAAAATTGCAAATCTATTTCAACAATAAATAAATTATGATCTTAAACGGGATGGGGCGGGTACCCGCGGGGGTAAAAATTTTAAACGGTTACGGGGATGGGGTGGAAAGTCCCCTCGTTTTTACGATTTTGGGCGGGGAAGGAGGCGGGGTTTTTAAACGGTTGCGGGAGCGGGGATGGGCACACTCTCCCAAACCCGCCCCCCGTTGCCATCCCTATATAATACGCCTCATTTAGGGGTGAACATTGGGAAGGACGAGCCACTTAATAATTACTGTAGAATTATGAAAGACAGACATGATCTGAACTCAAGCCTTTACTATACCAGCCAGCCAAGGCCCAAACCATAGGATGTACTAACTGAAGCCAAGCCCACCCATATGACCATAATTTATTCAAAATAATACTCGTATATAATTATAAAATAATCTATTTTACATTCAATTTTGTCCTCCTTGAATGAAAAGACAAATAACGAATTGAAAATTTGAAATTAATTGTCTCTTCACAGCATATTAGAGATTTGAAATTAATTGAATTGTAATTTGTTTTAGAAAGCGATGAGCAAATAATTTATAAATACACGAATATGATTCGATTTGATTCAATTCAATCAGCACATTATATTTATATGTTAGTGTGATATATTAAAAATAGTTAAAAAAATTAAATGGGTAAATCAGCATTTCAATGTGTCAATTAATGAGTCATTCATAATTCAAAGAGCAATAAGGTATTTTTATCTTATATCAAAGGTAGTTGGGGTGATTGTTTAATTTTGTAAACTTAGGAATATCTTTGTCCAAGCATTGTTGCAATTTACCCAAATAATAATATCTAGATGAAAAATAAGTCTTAAAAAACATAAAAATAAATAAGTTAGCGATTTTTTTTATTAAGCTTAGGGGTTTTATCTCAATTTTTCTTAGAGTTAGGCTTTAATTTATAATTTATAATTTATAGGACTAATCAACGCCGGTTGCAAAACTGATGGGCTAAGCCCACTCATGTTGGGCTGGTTATTATTTATTTATTTATTTATTTTTCTTTCTCTAAGCGCGTGAAACAAATTGGTGTATATTTACCATCATTCCATCGTCCAAATTCTATACACTCCTTCGTGCCGAAGGATTTTGAAATATTTCTTCAAGTCATTACGATCACAACAATCTGCTTCGATACTACGCTATCGCCTCAGGTGACAAGATCTGCTTAGTAATATATATATATACACACATATACTTTCTGTCTCGTATATTCTTATTGTAGATTGATAGTAATTCTTTGAACAATTCCTCAGTGCGTGTTCGAGGTTTTTACAAAGTTGAGGACTTGGCTAAAGGGTTTTTGCTTACACAATGAAATAAAGACGACTGAACTCCAAATTTGCACTTAGGAGGGTAAATATTTTTTTTCCCTTTAAGCAATTTGAAAAAAAATTGAATCTTTTCCATATAATAATAATCATAAAGCCTTCTTTTCTCTTAATATTCAATTTCTCCGCTAAATTATTATGTGTGATGAATTATTGTGTGTTTGCGTGGTTGTTTTCTCCTTATTCGTTTTACCTAATTTATCATGTTGGTGTTCAATTCAATTATTATTACTATATACGGCTTGTCCTCACTATGTTGTGTGGTTTGAAATAATCAGTGTAAAGAGAGGAGTTGTTTTCTCCTTATTTGTTTTACCTAATTTATCATGTTTGTGTTCAATTCAATTTTATTAATTTATACTGATTGTCCTCACTATGTTATGTGGTTTGCAATATTCAGTGTAAAGAGAGGAGTTGTTTTATCCTTATTTGTTATTAACTAATTTCTCATGTTTGTGTTCAATTCAATTTTATTAATTTATACTAATTGTCCTGACTATGTTATTTGGTTTGCAATAATCAGTGTAAAGGGTGGAGTAATCACTCTGAAGATCGGATCAGTCAGTTACCGGATGAAATTCTTATTTGCATCCTCTCTTGCTTGCCAATGAAAGAGGCGGCAAGAACTAGTGTAGTCTCAAGTAGATGGAAAGTGTTGTGGACATATACAACTGGTACTTTTAATTTTGAGGCTTTGAAGTTATTGTGGAAAGTTCGAAGGAAAGCTCGAAGGAAAGGAAATTGGAAAATATTAGGGGTGGAGAGGGCCAACTATATAAGTTGGGTGAATCAGGTCTTGAAGTCACCCAAGGGTGCAACCCTGGATGAATTCAGAATTCACTTTGATTTGGATTCTAGTTCTACATCTGATATTGATAATTGGGTTCACTTTGCAATGGAGAAGAGAGTTCAAAGGCTTGAGTTGAATCTTAAACGATTACAAGGTAATTTGCCGGAAGGGCGTTACAATTTATCATCTATGCGGTCACTGGATTTTTCGAGACTTGAATCACTAACTGCAATCCGTTTCACGTATGTGGATGTGACGGCAGAATGCCTTGAATGTTTTTTATCAAGCTGTCCATTTCTTGAAGAAGTATCTGTTGATAACTCGACTTGTCTAGTCAATCTTAAAGTTTATGGTCAATCGCTCAAGTATTTGAAATTAGCGTACTGTTGGTTTTTGGAAGACATTGAGATTTCTGCGAAAAGTCTGGTGTCACTTGAATATTTTGGTCACCAAATAAACTTGTGTCTCAAGAGTGCATGCCATCTTTCTAAACTATACCTGGGGGGTCAGTTTTGCAAATTTATGAAATTTTCCCAGTTTTCAAGCTATATCTCTCAGCTGCAGAAACTTGTATTGAAGTTGGATTACGAGGTTAGTATCTAACTTACCTCTCTTTTGTGCCTTCTCTTATTCTTCAAGGTTTTCTGACACATTTCGTTATTTGGACTCTTCAGGTATTTGATAACTTCCCCAAATTTCCCGAATTAAGGAATCTAAAGCATTTGACATTGAAGGTGGTTTCAAACCGTATCAGGAGCTTCCTTCCTTGCATTTCCCTCATAGAGGCAGCTCCTTGTTTGTATAGATTTTGTCTCGAGGTTAGTGCTCTTACTTTCTGGTTTACAATATGTGCATCATATTCTATCCTGGAATCTTATGTTTTATGTTATTTTAGGTGTTTAGTAAGTAATTTTAACTTGTAATGGCATTCATACTACATCATCGCTCTCTTTTTCTTTTTTCCCTCTAGATTGTATGATTTGCTTTACAAAATTTCTGAGACCTATATATAAGATTCATATCTTACATAAATTTACCTGATATCAAAAGAATTTGAGAACAGTGGTGCGCTGTGCATCTAGTTTGTTTTCATTGATTTTGTAGCTTAGGCTTAGCATCGGCCATTAGAGGAGGTGTTTATATATATATATATATATATATATATATATATATTTATTTATTTATTTATATATTTTAAAATGTTAATGAAGATGTAAGAAATTCAATCACCTCTCTCTCTAGAATTCTTACACTTCAACGGAATGAAAAACCAAAAAACCCCCCTCTCTACTCATATTGTCTATTTATAGACCATTACAAATGCTCTAACTAATTTATTACATAGGGCTCTTATTCTTGGGCTTTCTTCTTTTTGGGCCTGACCTCATTATGTAAGTCTCAGACGTTGGGCCTAACTTACAGTGTTGCATTATGGGCTGAGTTCAACCGTTCGGTCCAACCTTTCTCTCGTGGGTGTTGGGCTCGTTATGCTACCTTTTTTGCTCGGGCTCGGACCCACCACTCAACCTGATGCTCTACCTATGGGTCGGGTCTGGTCCAGTCCATCTTTGATATCCTCAATTGCCCCCATAATTATTCCCTAATAAATAAGTAGGTAATTATTATTGACGGCCAATCATGACGTTGACGGCTCAAGAAGATCTCGTGGGAAAATGGACGGTCAGATCTAAAACCGATGCTTCGAGATTCCAAAGAAACTCCTCGTTTTCCTGACGCTTCGGCCTTCGGGCCCACTCTGTCTTTATTAGTATCAGAGACGTTCCGTCAATCCTTTTTACTGTCTCTATCTTGCATCACTGTTAGTCAAATCTTCGCTTGCTTTTTTTTTTTTTAAATCAAATCAAATCTCCTCTGGCGAACCTCTGCAACAGCTCCTTTTTTCAGCGATCTTGCAGTACTCTTTGACGTTTTCTCACTCTGAGGTTAGTTTTGTTTGCCTTTTTCTTTTGGAAGATCTCTTTTTCTCCCTTAAAATCCTCATTCATTTTCGCCATGCCTGTAGATCTAGATGTTCTTTGCATGAAACTTCATCTCCCTGTCGATATAGAAATTAGAAACTGCCCTAAAGATGTGAATATCAGGACTGGTACTGGCCTTCTTCCCGGCGAAGTCTTGTTTACCCATCTTCAGTTAAATATCATTAGGTTCCCTTTGCATCCTTTCTTTAACTATGTTTTCAACAGACTAGGGATCTCCCCTCTGCAAGTAAATCCAAATTTTTTTAGGATCCTATCCGTTCTGCTACTACTGACTCGTGACAGAGGTCTGGATCTTGATATCATAGATCTTCTTCTCTGTTACAAGATTAGTAAGATCCGACTTGAGGAACCATTCTACCACCTCTACCCGATTGAAAAGATGTCCATATGTAAGGACACAATCAAGTCTGAAAAGGGTTGGAGAAACAACATAGTAAGGGTTAGGGGGGCCTGGTCTTCTCCAGCTGCAGAGGGTTATCCAATTCCGAGCGCCTTTGGCGAGTGTTCTGTCTCTTCATATAAGAAATTCAAAACACATAAGAACGATTGTCCTTGCGAAATTTGTGTTCCTCGCTTTTGTACTTTCTTGTGCCGATCCTTAAGCATTCCTTGTGATGACTTGAGCTACAGTGTTTACAGGGATAGGGATAATTACTTGAAGAAGTACGTTCTGAACGACATTCCTTCTTGCTCAGACCTTCTTACTTCAGACAACCTTCTCGCAATTTCAGCCCTCGGCAACACAATGAGCCAGCTCCAGATTCCTTCCTTCGGCAGGAGGAAAAACCCTCCCCGAGTCACTGTTGCTGCTGCTGCTGCAGCAACCTCTTCTCCAGCCTCGGCCTCTTCTTCTGCCACTATTTCCGACACCATTCTGAACATAGTGGCTGTTGATCCTGCCGTTAGCGTTCCTTCTACCAATCCGAACGCATATCCTCAGTTCAATACTACTTCTGCTGTTATTGCGGGTGCTCAGGATAAATAGCGAAGCAAGAGGCCTCATCCCGACAGTGCAGCCAACCTTGATGATGAATCTCTTACAAGGAGGATCCGAATCTCTGGGCCGGGCACACTCCTGCATCGCCCAGTCAGTTTTCCTGCCCCCTCTGGGCCTGTTACAGCTGCTGCTTCAGCTTCAGCTTTTGCTTCTGTTTCTGCAATAGCAGCATGGACTCCTCGATTCGTCCGAACGGATGGGACATTCGTGAAGCCGAACGAGACCATGTTCAAGGATGGCCAAACCGCTATGGCATATTACAGGAACATGTGGACTTCCAAGGACATTGAAACAGCCAAAGGTCTGTCTCAGAAGGAGGTGTTCAACCGCTTTCCCTTATCTGCCATGGAGGTAATTTTTGTCTCTCAGTCTGCAAATCTTCACATAATCTTTATGCTTGACCTCTTCTGACCATGTGATCGGTTTAACCAGTATTCATGCATATCTCTGCAGACCTTGTTCGGTATGATGGCCATGCAAAAGCAGGTGGAAATGGGGAACGCCAAGGCTCGTAAGTTCTCTAACAGCCTCGAGTTGGCCCATAAAGAAAATAATATCCTTGCCACCAAAAACACCGAACTGTTGGTCCAGCTTGGCAAAGTTGAAAAAGAGAGAGACGTTCTGAAAAAGGAAATTGACTCCCTTCAGAATGAAAAGGATGCCCTTCAACTTGAGAAAAGCGTTTGGCAGACCGGGCGCGATTTGCTTAAGGATGAGAAAGCAGAACTCCAGCGCCTTCTGACTGATGAGCAGTCCGCTGGGATGGCCTTCGAGAAGAGAGCCCTGGATGAGCGTGATGCTCTCCTAAATACCATCAGCAAGGTGAATGGTGGCATGCTGGCTCTTCACGCTCGGTTTTCAAGGGTTGGGGCTCTCAGGTATGCTCAGGAGTACCGAGAGGGTTTCTCCGACTGTGTTCCTGCCGAAGGCCAGACCGGTTCCACTCCGGACAAAGTTGATAAGGACCTAGAAATTGATCCTCCAGGAGTCTATGTTGATTCAGACTCCACTCCTGCTGAACACATTTTTGATGAGTGTCAGGAGATTGCTTCCTCCAGGGTCACTTCAGCTCCCTCTATCGTTCAGCCTCTGGATGTTCTTCCTATGTCCACTATAGTTCCTTCCTCAACCGCTACTGAGGTTGGGCCTCAACAGAATGATTCAGTTATTCATCTCGACTCCCCTCCTCATGAAGATGGGACGACCAATGAAAGTGAGGAGACGAGTCAACGCAATCAGGAGGCTGACAGAACAGAGGCAGCTAGCTAGGACTCTTCTGATACTTTAATTTCCTGCTTCTTTGTAGTTATGTCATCTGTGTATCTTATCTTTTGTAACCTCAAAACATATCATGAATGAGATGACAAAAACATTGACTTTATCTGTGCATGGGTGGTAACAACCAGCTTCATATTTATCGAAAGCTAATGTTTGGCGTTCGGCTCATAGTGCCAATTGCCACTTACTTTGCTCAAGTGCCGGGCGCTTGGCTAGAATGCCACTTGCCACTTGGATTTTTATTTCTTAGCGAGTATTTGGCGTTCGACTCATAGTGCCAGCTGCCACTTACTTGCTGAAGTGCCTGGCGCTCGGCTAGAATGCCACTTGCCACTTGCCACTTGGCTTTTTATTTCTTAGCAAGTGTTTGGCGTTCGGCTCATAGTACCAGCTACCACTTACTTTGCTGAAGTGCCTGACACTCGACTAGAATGCCACTTGCCACTTGACTTTTTATTTCTTAGCAAGTGTTTGGCATTCGGCTCATAGTGCCAGCTGCCACTTACTTTGCTGAAGTGCTGGAGTGCCTGGCGCTCGGCTAGAATGCCAGTTGCCATTTGGCTTTTTATTTCTTAGCAGTGTTTGGCGTGCGGCTCATAGTGCCAGCCGCCACTTACTTTGCTGAAGTGCCTGACGCTCGGCTAGAATGCCACTTGCCACTTGGCTTTTTATTTCTTAGCAAGTGTTTGGCGTTCGGCTCATAGTGCCAGCTGCCACTTACTTTGCTAAAGTGCTGGAGTGCCTGGCAATGCCACTTGCCATTTGGCTTTTTATTTCTTAGCAGTGTTTGGCATTCGGCTCATAGTGCCAGCTGCCACTTACTTTGCTGAAGTGCCTGGCGCTCGGTTAGAATGCCACTTGCCACTTGGCTTTTTATTTCTTAGCGAGTGCTTGGCGTTCGGCTCATAGATCCAACTGTCACTTACTTCGTTATTTTTACTTAATTTCTTGAAGAGGAAATTACTTTTTATAAATCTTGGAAACCTGTACACTCACCTGTATTCAATTGAAAATGAACATGATTCAAAATTGAAACTCAACTTTTTATTGATTATTCCTCTTCAAAGACGTAGCATTCCAAGGCTTGTTAACCAGTCTTCCGGCCATGGTCTCTAGGGTATATGCCCCCTTTCCTATGACTTCTGCAATTCTATATGGGCCTTCCCAAGGTGCTACTATTTTCTTAACCATTCCTACCTTCTTCTTTAGAACCAGATCACCTGGTGTAAAGTCTCTGTGCTTTACCTTTTTGTTATGGCTATTCATAAGTGTCTGCTGGTAGGATGCGAGCCTTACTGCCGCTGCATCTCTCTTTTCCTCCAGCATATCGAGGTTAAACCTCAGCATACTATCGTTATGCTCTCGGCTCCATGCCCAGCTTCGAACAGTCGGAACCAAGTGTTCGACCGGTATGACTGCCTCGGTACCATACGCCATGGCGAATGGGCTTTCTCCGGTCAGTCGCCTTGGGGTCGTTCTATAAGCCCACAAGACGTTCGGCAGTTCATCTAACCATTTTCCCTTCTTCTCTTCAAACTTCTTC